CCTGTACAATACTAAAACTAAAAACAAAATTCTAAACTATTCACAAAGAAAATACACATGTAAGTATACAATCCAAAATGTCGTAGCTAAGCTTAATTAGTTAATAGCTTCGGTCCCAAGAGAGAATTGTTAACAAAAGGTCGTTAGTAACATCTCCCACGAGACGACAAACCTTTGGCAAGCTTCATTTACTATGTACAAATAAGCACTTTATGTTGAGTAAGGTAATGTTCTGTTTGTAATATCACAAGAATTGAATAGTTTAGATTAAGTTGTTACGTGAAACAGGTAATAGTATTATGTATTGCAGTATTACTATTTTACATTGTACAATAAGAAAAATAAACGAAAATATCAGAAGTTTACCCATTATTCGTATCAACACGTTGAACGCCATGGGAGTCACGGGCGACCGTCGCGTCGTCAATAGTCAGAGCATTTCTTCAAGCTTCAACAGTTTTCTAAACTAAAGCATTCATAAGAACTTGGCCTATAGGGGCTCGATAACAGCTCACACATAGGACCCACTTAGTTTTTAGTCAAATTTCCGTGGTACTTGGCGACTGGGCTTCACCCAGTTGTACAGTCTATTCTTTGTGCCTTTGGGCTTAATTCATTCTGTCTCCTGCAGTAATTCACCGAGAGAAGTGGAAACTATCGTTTTTATCTTCTGATTCAATTCGTTGCGGGAACCAAGACTCATGTCCCTGGGATGCGCCGGTCTTCAGTGTTCCGGTGTTTTCATGGTTGTATCTACTGTAGATCCTGGCTTACAGGAGTTGCAGCGGTTTTGGGAGGTTGTGACGGGCTTGTCCTTTAAAACAAAATATAGGGGCTCCATACATAATTATTAATATGTGCTCAAAAACCACGGTTGATCTCAGTATTGTTTGAACCGATACAACACGTATACGTATACGCGTACGTTTCAAGCAATAGACAGCCCTAGTATAGTGTTATAGTGCACTATAGTGTTCACACGACTGATGCTTGGATGCGAGGTGACAGTACATCAGGTGTTGTTACGTCACTACAATCAGATTACTCAGAATACTACACTGACTGACGGATTGGGAAACTCTATTACGTATAGTAACTGAACTATTCGTAGAATATGTGATAGAATATATCAGTCAAAATTTCTTCAAGTTCTGTCAAGCTTCCATTGGTTAATATAGGATATAACGAACCACCTGGATCACAGCTAGACCATCGAATCCTACTGCCCCTTTCTAGGGGGTTGATTGCGAATTTAAGACATTCCTAGAAAGATCCAAGTCGATAATTTATCCGTTGCCGTTGGTATATAACATAACATAACATCACGCCTTTTATATCAGTAGGCAGAGGTGTACATTATGCCACTGTACAATGTAACACCACACACTTTTCACTATTTATGTTACGAGTCCCATGTAATAGGGGGTGAGCTTATTGGCATATACCGAGCACATTTCCAGACTCCGTGCTACTTTGCCCGATCTGGGAATCAAACCCGAGACCTCATGTTCGGCAGCCGCACTTGCGACCAATATTACTTACAAATAAATGTAGACTCCAACGTAAGAGAACACCTTGATCCATAAAAACACAATATTAGGCTTAAACAATTGCCCCAATTCCTCTCATTGAACCTTTTTCTGCTCTTCGGCCCTCAGGGCACGCTGATAAAAGTATTTCGATGTCTCTTCACTCCCAGCGGTTAATGTACCTACCCACTGAAATCTGATTCAATTTGTTCCAAATCCTATTAGACTGCGTAATTTTACGATGGAACCATTTTCTTTACATAATATTTTGTTAGATTTTCATTTTTGTAAAGAAAATATAAGTACTTTCTTTTTTTGCTTTTCCATGAGTATGATTTTCCTGTTATGTAGGTGTATCAGAACAGGGGTAGTGGAATCACAGATTAATTTATTTTGACGTATCTTTTTTCCTTTAAAATGATGATGACGCGTGGGTGGGACTCAGAGTAAATGTTTTTAATTAAAAATTATTTTAAAATTTGGACTGTAATTATGATGGAGACGGTTCTCATTTCATGTCACGAGGCTGTATGATGGACAGTTTAGACATTTTAAAAAGTACACAATAGGGCTTCGCTCTATCTGGGAGTCCTAAAACCTTATGTCGTGCAGTTTAGTTACCAGTTACTTACTAGACTAAAGAACGTCTCAAGTAGCATCACAATTCGGCATAGGAAAGACACACTGCTATTATAAGACAAAAATAAGTCTTAATATGGGGAGACACGCACGTCGTGAGTAAGTGGGTTAATCGTCATTCATAGATGTTCTTTGGCGGAGGGCCAGTTCCTAGTACAGCATATCAAGCTCACCGAATCTGTTAAAATAGAATTTCAACCTTGTCCTTGTGCAATGAAGTTGAATATCAGTTAGTTTGGGGTAGTGGGATGTGCTGGTGTTTGTACAATTTATGCACTTTTGCAATCTGAGTTGATATTGTGAGTTCAAGGTTATTCAGCTACACGTGTGCGATCTGTCGTATTCAGAGCGATAGTGAATAGAATTTGTCATCATATTATTCATTGAGAAGGTTATTTTGTTCGTAGTTACATCACAGTTTTGTAGTATAGTGCCTATGTATTGTATGCTACGTTTGTTACTGATTGGTCTTTTACTCTAAATACATTGTTAAGGTTCAAATATCGAATGTGATTTTTAGGAAGATAGTGGAGTTAATTACGCATATAATGGGTTCACGCATATACAAGGTGTAGTTTTGAAGCCGTGTCGTTTCTCGGAGGCATGTCATAAAGGCTCAATTTAAGAGAAAATATCGGGCCAATAGTTAAAAATACGGCTATAATAAATCGTTTAAGTTCGACAGTATTTCAGAATAAGCGACAGCAATGTTTCTTATTGGAGTTTTATGGAATTAGGAATAATATCAATTACGTGTTTGAGTTTGTGTGTGTTAAGCTGCGTTATAAAGCTAGTTACAAGACGGCGGAGTGTACTTCGCACTTACGGATTTCCGTAATTTCAGAAAAATGAAAAATATTTACCTACGTTTTATTTTATTGATTCGGACTCAGAATCGATAGCCGAGTTACCTTCTAGAAAATGACGCGGCTTTAAAACAACACCTTGTATTATTCAGTCGTTTTTGTGCCTAGTTGATAAAACTGGGTATAACGATGAACTTACGGATTGAAAATATTGAAATCGAAAATACTTTACTGTACTTTAAGTCTTGAAGAAGAAAAATGTTTGGTTATAAAAAAATTCTTTATTTTATTACAGAAACGTGTTCCCTGAGAACCTTGCGCAGGCGACGATCGCGACCTACCGTACGAGACTCGTTTACGACAAGAACGATACTAATAGTCGACTTGGTAAGAATATTGCAATGTTTCTATCCCTGTTTCTACCTAATCTGTTCATCTTGAAAGGTGAACCAAAAAATGAAAGAATAACTTGGAAACACTCATTGGTTTAAGTTAACGATGTCTTAGATTATATGGACTGTCTCAGATTAAATGTCCATCTAACTTTGATTTTTCCAAAGGTCTCTATAAAGTCTTTAAACGAATTTATCTTTTTTACTTATATTTTCAATTTGATTTGTATGCTCATTGAAGACATACTAAAGATATAAATAAAGCTGAACCTGTTGTCTCCAGTCCATTAGGGGTAATCAAATACGATTTAAAAAGTAACTAAATCAGTAAGCCCACTTTATGGCCGCGTGTTCAGACAATTTGTGAAGACTAACTGGACAATGAGTTTTATTGCAAAATGATGACTCTTCTAATTGTGAACAAAAGATTCAAAGACCTTACAAATAGAACAGTTGGCTTCAAGTCAAGCACTTGTGATTTGTGAAGTCTACCTACCTATATACATTATCTTACTTCTTATGTCCTAGTGTACTCTTCACCTTAGGACAAGCCTACTGAATGTAATTGTTTGAGAAACAATTTCAGTATGAAGTTTTTTTATCTCTACTTAACAATGTTGACATAAAATAAACGACATATAAAAATTGACATAAAACTGGTACTTATATATTTCTTGCATATTCCAGGTGATTTGGAGACATATCAAATTACGGGCGAGTACCAGAGCGGCAGCAATGTGTTGGGGTTGGTGTGCTTCAGTATCGTGCTGGGCATCACCTTGGGCAAGATGGGGGAAAAGAGCCGGCCGCTGCAGGACTTCTTCCACGCTTTGTCTGAGGCCATGATGATCATTACCGGATGGGTTATTTGGTAAGGATATTCTGATGATTGTAAGGTGTATTCGAATAGACGACACTATAGCTGAAATTGTTTTTCACGTAGTGATTTGTCATACTGTCTTTTAGATAGACTGAACCTATGAACATGTTATATTTCATAAGAAAACATTTCTTAAAGAATACAAAATTTTACTAGACATAATAATTTCAAACTAATATCATATATTTCAGGCTATCGCCCCTTGGTGTGTTCTTCCTGGTGACTGCAAAGATTATGGAAATTGATTCATTTAAAGAGCTGGTGGGTCGGCTGGGGCTGTACTTCATGACGGTACTCCTTGGGTTGTTCTTGCATGGGTTCGGAACCCTGAGCATCCTGTTCATCCTGGCTACCAAGAAGCTGCCGTGCCGGTACATTGCGAAGATGGGACAAGTCATGGCTACTGCTTTTGGTACAGCTTCTAGGTATGTTTCCTTAACTCGTCGAGTACCGGTTTTGTAGACACAATTATAGAACAATAGGTTGCGGTCACCGGTGACCGCTTGGTGTTTGACAGTTTAAATAAGTATTTTATTATGGATGGTTAAGGTAATAGTAGAAATCGGATTGTTCATCCTCATATTATCCTAGTTTAATAATTTTGAAATCAGCTTTATTTGAAATTTGTTTACATTTGTTAGGTGTAGCTATGGGCATCGTACTGGGGCCTATTTATGTTATTTTTAACTTTGACTGATTCAATGTGTTGCTATTATACCTCAAACTTTATTTTTAAGCCGATGCACAGTATTGTATCATAATTTCAATCTGTCATTTCCAGCTCAGCAACAATGCCAATTACGATCGGTTGCTGTGACGACATGGGCTTGGACCCTCGCATCACTCGGTTCGTGATCCCCATCGGCGCCACCATCAATATGGACGGTACAGCTCTGTATGAAGCCGTCGCTGCCATCTTCATTGCCCAGCTCAGGAAGGTCGATATGTCATTCGGCAAGATTATTGCTGTCAGGTGCGATATAATATGAAAATTTGTATTACCTCATATAGATTTGTAGTTTATTATTATCCTTGCTACTGTTATAAATTGTACGTTATGTAAACTGTTTTTTTAAGTTAAAAAAAGATTAGTTTTAGTAAATCTATTGAACATATAATTATACGCATTTGAGAAATATGTTTTCAACCACTATTAAAAATTTGCTTTATTTGAACTTACTTGGTAATCTATTGATTTTTTACCTGTGACTTGTATTGTTACGTTGAATTTTAACGATTGTTAAGCTTTTACGTAAGTGCATGTTCGAGCACTATTTCCTTGGTACCATATGCATATTAAAAATTTTTGTAGCAATTTTGTGATGATATAATAGTCTATTTCTTAACAAACTTTATATATAAGATACGGGTCTTCTAACAAAACTATGCATCGTGTGATATTTTCAGTGTGACGGCTACGGCGGCGAGTATAGGTGCAGCCGGTATACCTCAAGCCGGGCTGGTTACCATGGTGATGGTGCTGGACACCGTCAACCTGCCCGCCGAGGACGTGTCCATCATCCTCGCTGTTGATTGGTTGCTGTAAGTCATTGTATCGACTTGTATTGTGTGATAAGTGATAAGTCAACTTAACTAACAGATGAAATAGGTATATCATCATCATCAGCCGGAAGACGTCTACTACTACGATCTAAGTCTTCTGGTAGAAGTTCAATAGATTAATTTTTATGTTTTTGACTCATTCACGTAACTGTTTGACGAGTAACTCGACTAGTTTCAAGCCAAACCAGAGGCTCATATTTATGAGCATTATTCCGCGACCCACGACGCGGCGACTATCACTCATAACATAATAATTAATTTAGTATGTCTCGCGAAAGTTTTAATATACAAGTTCAATAGAAGTTAGAGGTAATCAAACTAAATTCAAACTTTATATTTTGCCATTACTTAACAAATGTATGACCAACAATTTCCTCCAATGCCACCATCCCGGTTTTGTGTTCTTTCTTGCTATTTGCTCGCTTTTAAGATAACTATCTCAGTGGAAATAGTATTAGAGGCACCTGATAATCCTCTCATGAATCGGTCACTTACGGTAGAAGATAGTCGTAGGGACTGCTCTGAACTTTGATCTAATTCATTTACTCATGAATATGATGTCTCATTTGTGAATTGGCCCAGGGTTACTATGTAGGTATTTAGTGCAATGCGATAGAGTTACAAGTAATTAATGTGCATGCTGTCATCTATCCTTTTTTATTAATTGTCCTAGTCACAATAATTATACTGAATGTGACATCACATTCTCGACGTGAAATATAAAAATGTGAATATTGTAATTGTTTAAAAAATTTCAAGTCATAATCTTATACTTGGCTCTTCATACTTGTCAGCTTTGTTAAACACTAAGGACAATCTTCGTACTGTGTTTAGTATGAGTCTAGTCTAACTTTGTTATTTTTTGTATTTCAGCGACCGATTCCGTACAACGATCAACGTAGTGTGCGATGCTTTGGGCGCCATTATTGTGACGTCACTTTCACAGGGTGACATTGAGAAAACCCGCGCTGTCAACAACGATAGGGATGGGGCACCCTCACACGAGCTCACCGAACTAGAGAAGGGCGACCATTGAACTGAAAATAACGGAAAATACGTCCACCATTGATTTGTGTGGACAGACAAAAAGGAATAACGTTGGAAGAAAAAAAATAACAGTCTATTGTCATCTTGAGTTGTTAAATTGATAACGAGTACGTACAATTTGAGCTTTAAAATAAAATCAAAATGTTTCATATCAGTAATAGTTAAAAACTTAAAAAAGGGCCGAAAGCATTCTGCTGGCTGCTATTAGTAAAAAAAAGGCAAGAATGTGTTTCTGGTTATTCCATTTAAATGCGATAGTTATTCAGTGTAAAAAATAAATTTATTGAACGCGTTATTTTAAAATAATAACGTTGCAGTAACCGTTATTTCGTGATGAAGGAAAATGTCTTTGTATAAAAATTGATGTTTTGGGATTACAATGATAATGGTATATCAGTGTATATTGCGAATCTTTATTATTTAGGAGAATTCTTTACTATTTATAACTGTATGTATATTAAAATATATGAAACGTAAATGAGACTCTCTATCTATCGTATTACTCATTTTGATGTGCAAAAATCGGTGTTTGTCGAAAGATACGTATAAAAATACACATTATCAGTATTTAGTATAAATACATTGAAGTAAATGTTAGAAGGAGCTTACAATGTGTCGGTGTGTTCTATATGTGCCATTTTAAGTAGCTTTAAAGTAGCTGTCGTTATGATGTTTAGAATTTTCGACTCTATACATACTGTATTACTGTTTAAATCAGATTATTCTAGTAGTGATTCACATTGTGTCGCCTATTTACTACAGTCATTTAGAAATATAGACCTTTACTATGACATAGGAAATGTGTATCAGCTATTTTGCTACTACAAAATTTTTCCTGCCCTTTTCTGAAGCTTTTTTCTTACAAAATTCAAATTTGAATATGTAACAGATAATGTCGATTTTCGATTGGAAAAAAATTCTTTGGATATTTAAAAAAATGTGTAGCTGAATCTTCCCATCTATTTTTGTATGAATGTACATTAGAGTCGATTGTGTATGTTTATCTAGTAATGTGTTTGTATTGTAAGTAGGTGATATTAATGTTTAAAATTGATTTTACCAACAACTATGTTGATTTTGAAAATTCTTATTTCATACGACTCGACCGTTAGTACTTTTCGACAAGTATTTTTATTGCGAAAAAGTACTTAATATTGCTACATTGTACTCTTAGTACCATCTGGTAAATAAAACATCCAGTTGTTGATAAAATCAATTGCTATTAACTTTCATGGCATAATATCGTGTTTATAAACGGTGTACGATTTTAAACGCGTTTGCATTTCGAGAGTTTTGACATAGAATATTAAGTTTTCTAAGTTGTAAAACGTAAACGATTGAATGCATGATGTATGTTGAAATTACCTGTTTCGCCATCTTAATGTAAGTATTAGTCAGGATAGTTCGAAATGGGAACCGCTTAAAACCGTATGTCAAAAGTAAACAACGATAACTTGTAGGTTATAATTATAAAGTTTAACGGAACTATAACGTTTAAAGACAGCCTGCATTCCACTCGTTTCAAATGAATACATGACACCTAGTGTATAGCTTCTATTTATTTACATTTGTTATTAATTGTTTTATCGTTGCAAACGATATAAAATACCATTAATTAGTGGTTCGTCTTTTGTATGTTGATTTATGCTGTTTCACCGTTTTCTGATTCGCACAAATGCAATAGGTATTGTCACTTGAAAACAAATTGGGTCATTCAGTGATATTTGGTCGAATATTTATTATGAATTTCGTTTTATTCATCATAATTGTATTAGAAAAAAAACCTCTAAGATTTTGGTATTAAGATCAACCTAAAATGGCGGCTAAATAAAATAATTAGTATTTATGTATTATAATTATTTTTTTTCGAAATCGGCGAAACAGTCTAGTATTATATGAGTTACTAAGTGATTCTCTAAAGCAATTTAATTTAATGAACTAGTTACTCGGATTAGTTACGTCATAATTATATTATGTATGTTAAAATAATTTATTATATCGACCACTGCAGAGGGAAAGTCATTCAATTGTGGCCAAATATTAGTAGTAAGTTATAATGACTATCGTAAGATATTTTACCGATTAAATTATGATATATAACCACATTTATGTACGTAGAAGTAATGTTCATAATAGTCTCTAGTCCGCACTTTATCATTAGACCGTTATAATTGATTAGTAGAATAAAATTCAATGTTATTATCGTGGGACGGTGACGAGCATATCTGGAAAACATCGTTATATTACATCGGTATACATAGAATAACTTATTTTGTTATAGCTATCGTTATCGGTATGTATATGTCGCACTAAGTCTTGTATTATTAAAAGTCATACCAAATATTATAACGTAAGTACAAATTATTTATTGATGTCGGCTCATGATTCCCTGTTTATATTTAATATGGATGTTATTTTAAATAAATATTTGTGTGAAAACTGGTTTTTTAATTATGAAGGAATTGAAATAATGACACGCTATTTATTCAATTTTTTATTTATAAAATTTATCTCTTGCATTAACTTAGGATTACGATTTGGTACAAAAATTCATATCTCTTTGTATGTATAGAGCTGAGTCTCTATCACCTCACAGCCAAGTACACTTTTATACTACTAAACAAAAAATAAAAGAATCTTTACATTAAAACTATAGTTTAAACAAAAACAACCTTTAAAGAAATAACAATAAAGTAGTGTTTGGTATCAAAATACCTACTTAGGACTTATCGTCTGTCAGTCAGTCTTATTGAATAAATATATACGTAATAACTTAAGCGTGTTCTCAATGGAATGTATTAACTTTACATGCTGGAAAACGATGAGTATCCTAGTTGTGTCGAGGAACTAGAGAATCAATGGATACTTGTCAATCGTTATTGGACCTTAGCCCCGAAATAAGAAGTAACAATATCAATTGATGAAGCCTCATTAAACTATCTATTAGTTAATAATTAAGGACTATATTTATAGCTACTTCACTTATAGGAATGTTACATATCAGTGCGTAACACTCAACAGTTATAACTATATTAATCTACTCACAAGGCATGGCACAAACCGCACGAACCGTAGTCTTTGTGTAACTTATCGCAACCTAGATATGTTTCAAGACTCCCCCTTAAAGCTTTCTTTTATACACACTTCGATTTTTTACGATATTCAATCCCCTTTCGCAACGAGTTACCATCCAGAAAAAAATAACGCCGATAACGGTTTTTAATAACCGTTATTTTGTGCCCAACACTTTTCAAGTCATAGACAATAGATTTCGGAATTTGTTTGTTTTTTTTTAGTCGAATTGAATTTGAATCAGATTAATGAAATTGCTACACGAACAGAGGCCTTAGTACGAGTTTGTTTTACGTTTAAAGTAATCGTAACGAGTACGCGTTCAGCGCTGTGATTGGTTGCTTCATTGGCTCCGGCCAATCAGAGTGCCGAACATCAACTCGTTTCGAATACTTTAAACGTAAATCAAACTCGTACTAAGGCCTCAGAATAGTAGCTGGTGCCATAATTGTACGACAAAAAAACAAAACAAAACGTCCTATTCTTATTCCGAATTGGAATTTGGAAATTCAAGCACCGTCAAAAGAATTTTCTTAAGTATTTGTAAGGCGAATAGAGGCTATACCATGCCGTTACCGACATGATTATTATTTATTGTGTTCCAATGTTTCTGTGACCCATTTTGTGCATTATACGAATCCCGTCGGCCATTGCGCTCGCTTCCCATAGAGTTCCTGGCCCTGGCAAGCGTTGCTGCTGAAATCTCCATCGATTCGCCGTAGGGGAGTCTTGAACCACGTCTCATACTGCCGCTTCTACATCGGACGTTCTGTAAAAGGAAAGTGATGTTATTACGTTGATATATCATACCGAAATTTGTTCATACAAAAGTAGTCTCTAAACATCGGAAATAAGGTCTATAATAGAGTTAGTAGAGAGCGGTCACCGCTTGGGGGTTGGGCAGTTAAATATTTTACTTTATTTATAGTTTCAAATAGGGTACATGCACATATAATTTGTCCAAGTGATATCTGTTAGACATAAGCACAGGAAGATTAACATACAAAAAGCGTTAGGAATGAATTAATTGCAATAAATAAATTAACACTGAGTAACTACGTTAAATGAAATGTAAACGGAATGGGTATAAATTGAACGATCATGCGATGCATACACACGGCTCATGAAACTGTTTATAAATATCTAACCATGTACGAGGATAACCTTGATTATTACATAACGTAACATCACGCCTTTCATCCCCGGAGGGGTAGGCACAGGTGCACATTATGCCACTGTACAATGTAACACCCACTTTTCACTAATTATGTTATGAGTCCCATGTAATAGGGGGTGAGCCTATTGCCATATACCGGGCACAATTCCAGACTCCGTGCTACAACTGAGAATTTTTTAAAAGCCCTGTAATACTTTGCCCGACTCGGGAATCGAACTCGAGACCCCTTGCCTTGGCCCTTGCAACGAGGCAGTACTTGATTATTTTTTTGCATATTCAGAGCAGCATGTAAACATGTATTTAAAAATATTAATTACTTAAGTAAATAGAGAGCTACCGCATCTTTATAAACGACGTGACGTGTCATACCAGCATCAGTCGGTTACCGACTGTTGTCGATGCAACAACATAGAATTGAAACGGCAAACATGCATTGAGTGTTTAATGCTTGACGACAATGACAACATATGCTTCATTCCATACAACACATAGATACACATATATAGTATAGATATGGCCCCAGCACTTACGAAGTAACTCACCCGTCCCGCGCGCCACGACCACCGGTTCCGGTTGAACACGCCGTACACGATAGGGTTGGCGCATGAGTTCGTACATGAGAACAACCACATCGCCTTCTGAATCGCTGGATCCAAGCTCTTTAGAGATTCTTTGTCGATCCAGTACCTGGAAAAGGTAATAAAGTGTTTGTTTTTGTACATTATCGCAGTTTAAACAATAATAGTATTAATAATAATAAAATCGTTTATTAAACACAAAAACTTCCAAGCGATGTAACAGTACTCCAATGTTTACATTATTAAACAATTATACTAATATACGACTTACCTACTTTAAAGATAAATTTAGGAATATAATTAGGTATCTATTTTTATATACCGTTTGGTATAAGGCATATTTGAATGAGAACGTTTGTAAGTCAAAAATAAAAAAAATGTAATGTTTTTCAATGAATATAAGTTGTATATTGCCAGTAACAATATTTGATATTTTATTCCTTTAAATAGGTTAGAAATTAGCTACCGTCTACCACAGCTTGGCAAAAAAGAGTTGGACGCGGTGACAATTGGAACTAATATCGACTTGGGCTGAATCACCCACTTCGGGTTATATTTCATGAATAAAAAATCACCCGATCATAGTACTTACTCTTTTTAAACTCGATAAAAATAACCAGTATGAAAACCGATTGACTCGTAGTGTACCAGTTTGCCACAGGTATATACGATACTAGCGACCTCAATTATTTCTAATTCTTTTTTGCCAAACTGTACATCTTTTATTAAAACGCAGAATAAAATGTACAAATAAGAAAAAAATTACAACCTCAAAATATTTGTTTAAACTTACCATAAACAATAACAGTAGTAGGGTGACCAACATGTAAAAAAGACTAGAACTATAGTGACTGTCATCTTGAGTGTCCGAGCCCGCGCCCGCCCGAGTATACCCACGCCGCTCCGTCGCATCTTATCTAAAAACATAGTTGATAGATGTGAATTTTTTACTTCTTTATGAAATTCAATGAATGAATTAATAATAGTATACAAGTTGAGAGTTTAATACTTTATCAATACATAGTATAAAACAAAGTCGCTTTCGCTGTATGTCCGTATGTATGCTTAGATCTTTAAAACTACGCAACGGATTTTGATGCGGTTTTTTTTAATAGATAGAGTGATTCTTAAGGAAGGTTTATATGTATAATACATGCATATTGCACCCGTGCGAAGCCGGGGCGGGTCGCTAGTTACATTATGATTTGCTTCTAATGATACAAATTAATTAAAATTAAAACGTAGAGTTTTTTTTTTCTTAGTTTGTTGACTGGAACTGTTTTAAATTTAGAACGTTTTGAAAACGATTGGGAAACAAATATAGGCACTACGTGTTTCGACATCCATTAGGGTCCAAAGATAAAAATCTCTGAGGTTCTAAATTTAAATTTCAAAACAAGACTTTACTTACCATTCGAAGTGTTAGATCTCCGAATGATTTCCAACAAAGCTGCTGAGGAGCAGTACAGCGTGGACAGCAGAGGGATGACGTACATGAGGATCATGTTCACTAAGAAGTACGCAAACTCGTGGCACTCCGTCGGCAACGACCCGTACGACACGCACTGGTAGTACCTGGAAATGAAACGGGTTACTCAATAAATTATTCATATTATTTAATCGCTTTAAAAATGAGTGACATGATTATAATGATCTATGTTACTATTCTAGATATAGAAGAGATCAAGGATAGGTTTTAAGAAGATTATTATTTTCAAATGAAAATTAGCGCAATAATTCCTAATCCCCAAAAGGCCGCACTTGTAACGCCTCTGGTGTTCCAGGTGACCACGTCAGCTAGTTAACCGGTTTATCCCATAAAAAATTACAGTTCTAGCATGTATGGCTAGAACTGTGCTCATTTTAATACAATGTATGACTTTGATTTCGTCCTACAGAAACATCGTTTAAGCCTTTAACTGCCGATAAAGATTGTTAAAGGCTAGCGTCGGTCTTCATTGTCCAATGTTTTAAATATCGTTTTATCCACACAATTTTAACGGGGCAAGAAAAGGAACAAATTTGAAACTATAATGCCATTTTTTTCAGACATTGCGAACAAGAAATACAGACTCAAAATCCTTATCCTTACAAATATTATCTATCAGAAAGTAAGTTGTTTTTTCGTTACATACTAATTGGAAAAATCTAAAAAGCGCGATATAACCGAATTCCACGCGAGCGGAGAGCTATTTGTTTGTTTCCCTGTCTTAAACGGCAGAACGGAGGTACTAATTAACGTGATTTTTTAAACTGAAGATAGTTGAAGGGATGGATAGTCACATAGGTTACTATTTATCCTTTTGCGACGCGAGCAAAGTCGCGGGTAAAAGCTAGTAATTAATAAACGAACACGTAAATGGCAAATCATTACCATAATAAACTTTCGTCATTAATAAACATATTACAAAAGCAATTATCATAAAATTACACTCTCGCTTATGTTACGTACGTCCTAACGACAGACTGGCAACAATGACCCACGCACGTGTAATCATGTTTAGGTATTGCTATTAATATTGATCTTCCATTAATCTCCTCTCAACACTTTCGACTGTTAATTACTCTTGCACATTAAATTAGTTTTACTGACTATGATA